CCTTGCTCGGCTAATTTTTTTTTTTTTTTTTGAACTGGAGTCTCTCTGTCACCCAGACTAGACTGCGGTGGCCGGGAGCGGCCACTGCACTCCAGTCTGGGCGACAGAGTGAGACTCCAACTCAAAAAAAAAAGAAATATATAAATGAGCCGGCGTGGCTCTGTGCCAATAAAACTTTATTTACAAAAACAGGAGAGTGGGCAGTAGTTTGCCAGTCTCTGCTCTAAAACAACGTATTTGCTTTGTCAACAACCAAAGAGGCCAAACATGGTGGCTTTTGCCTATCACAGCACTTTGGGAGGCTGAGACACGAAGATCACTTGAGGCCAGGAGTTGAAGACCTGCTTGGGCAACACAGTGAGACCACATCTCTACTATAAATAATAAAAATAAACAAATAAATAATTAAAAAACTATAATGTCACTAGCACTTTAAAAAATGGCAATACTGTTGACTCTTTGGGACTAGGGCAAAAAAAAAGTGGCAATAATTACTTATTATCAATAGATCAATATTCACATTGCTAGGATTGTCTCATAATTTTTTTTTTGAGTTGGAGTCTCACTCTGTTATCCAGGCTGGAGTGTAGTGGCACACTCATGGCCATCTCAATGTCAACCTGCTGGGCTCCAGCGATCCTTCTGTCTCAGCCTCCCAAGTAGTCGGAACTACAAGTGCGCACTACCTTGCTCGGCTAATTTTTTTTTTTTTTTTTGAACTGGAGTCTCTCTGTCACCCAGACTAGAGTGCAGTGGCCATTCCCGGCCACCGCAGCCTCGACCTGCTGGGCTCCGGCGATCCTTCTGCCTCAGCCTTCCAAGTAGCTGGAACTACAGGCGCGTGCTACCATGTCCAGCTAATTTTTGATTTATTATAGAGATGAGGTCTCGCCAAGTTGCCCAGGCGGGTCTCAAACCCATGGGCTCAGGCAATCCACTCACCTCAGCCTCCCAAAGGTGCAGGATTACAGGCTGAGCCACCGAGCCTGGCTAATCTTTAAATTTATTGTAGAGATGAGGTCTTACCAAGTTGCTTGGGCTGGTCTCGAACCTGCGGGCTCAGGCAATCCACTTACCTCGGCCTCTCAGTGTTGGCATTACAGACTGAGCCACTAAGCCCAGCCTCATAATTTTTAAAAAACAGTTGGTTTGTTTGAATCAAGATTCAAATCAGAGCCCACACTGCATTTGAGTTATACTGAGTGTCTGTTGGTGTCACTTTTTGTTCTGTGGATTTGGGGGTCGCTTTCCCCAGAACAAGGGCATCTGATGGGACTGCAGGCTAGACTCCAGCAAGGCGGTACACCTGGTTCCTGCCATGGGGAAATTCATGGGGGTTGAATTGATGACGTCTGGAGGGGTCACTTGTTGGGAGTGGCCAGTGGCCAGGCGTGTGAGAGTCAGGGGTATGGCTCTGTAGGATGGGCATGGGAGCAACTGGAATCCTTTAGGCCTGGCTTGGTGCGGCTGGTGTCCAAGAAGCAGACATCGTTCCTGAAGTTGAGTGATGTCACTCCCTGGGAAGTGCTGAGGGCAGACTGGTAAAGCACCAGACTGCTTTGGGGCTGACTCAAGACTTGGGGGCAGTGGTGTGCTGGCTTCCTAATGACCTGGCTACATATCACACTATTACATACATTTGTTTTTGAATTGGAGTCTCACTCTGTTGTCCAGGCTGGAGTGCAATGTTGCAATCATGGCTCACCGCAGCCTTGACCATCTGGGCTTAGGCAATCCTTCTGCTGCAGTCTTCTGAGGAGCTGGGACTATAGGCATGCACCACCATGCCTGGCTAATTTTTAAATTTACTGTAGAGATGAGGTCTCATTATGTTGCTCAGGCTGGTTTCAAACTCTTGGGCTCAAGCAATCCTCTTGCCTTGGCCTCCCAAGGTGCTGGGATTATAGGTGCAAACCACAGCCCCCAACCTATGTATGCTCTTAATGTGAGTTTACTGTTGTCTATATAATAGTGTGTCTCTTACAAAATTATCTTCACATTGGTGGCCTGAAATCAGCCAGGATGGAGGTATTTACATTATGGAAATTGGCATCTACTACAAACTAATGGAGAGCCATTAAATTAAACATTTGCCAGCTCATCACTGCTTGAGAGTGACTTATTTCAACCTTTTCTTTTTTTAATTGAGTTGGGATCTTACTGTCTCCCAGGCTAGAGTGCAGTGGCATGATTACAGCTCACCACAGCCTTGACCTCCTGGGCTCAGGTGATCCTGAACTCAGTCTACCAAATAGTTGAGACTACAGGTGTGTGACTTTTTTGGTAGAGACGAGGTCCCCTTATGTTGCCCAGGCTGGTCTCAAACTCCTGGGCTCAAGGAATCCTCTCGCCTCTCGCTTGAGCCACTGCGTCTAGCCTGTTTCAGCCTTCTATAGGAGATCAAGGCTGCCCTCGTGCTCTGGAAATGTTTCGCAACTTTGATCCCTTTGATGCCAACCTGTGCCCTATAAGTCAGGGGAGTCATCCCGGGGAAGGGGCTGGGCTATAAGGTAGGTAGTCCTTTGAGGGTTTGAAAAGAAACCAAACTGTAAGTCCAAAGGTCACTCTTATCCCTAAACAGGGAAAAGCAAAGCATTAAGAGGTTACTGAAGATTCACCTTTAAAAGCCTCTGATTCCAAATTTAGTCACCACGTTTGTCTTCTTCATGTTAATTAAGGAAGAGGAACTTAGGCAGAAGCCATTTGTCTGGACTGGCAAGGAAGCACATCTGTTTTCTTCCTGGAAAGGGAAACTGCAGTTACAATAAAGCTCTCACAAGCAGGTTGGCACCCCATCAGCTAAGGGGTCTGTTGCAATCTTGGGGAGCCCTCCATGATTACCTCCCATGGTTCCAGAGCACTGAGCGACCCCTCCAGCATAGTGAATCTCCTGATTATTTATTTATTTGAGTTGGAGTCTTACTCCATCACCCAGGCTCTGGAGTGCAGTGACACACTCGCAGCCACCCCAGTGTCAACCTGCTGGGCTCTGGTGATCCTTCCACCACAGTCTTCCAAGTAGCCTGAAAGAACTACAGGCACACGTTACCATGCCCAGCTAGTTTTTTGATTTATTGTGGAGACGAGGTCTCACCAAGCTCTCCGGGCTGGTCTCGAACCTGCAGGCTCAGGCAATCCACCCACCTCAGCTTCCCAAGTGCTGAGATTACAGGCTGAGCCACTGAGCCCGGCCAACCTTCTGATTTTTCTTAAACACTTTTGTTCTTCAGAGTGGGGTGTCCAAGACCACTTGGGGTGTGGGAGAAAAAGATTACAACTTCAATCTGTTTTTACTTTTTTATTTTTATTTTTTGAGTCGGAGTCTCACTCTGTGGAGTGCAGTGGCCGCTCCCGGCCACCGCAGCCTCGACCTGCTGGGCTCCAGCGATCCTTCCGCCTCAGCCTTCCGAGTAGCTGGAACTACAGGCGTGCGCTACCACGCTGTTTTTATTTTTAAAATTCAACTATAAGAAAGCAACTAAGCTTTACTGATGTTTAATATGCAAAATAGAAAAAGTACATATACACACACATTGGAAGTGTAGGCTCAGTTTCTGCTTCTTATGATTGTGTGGCCCATGCCCACAACCTCCTTGTGGGCAGAGAAACCCCATCCATGTCTGCACCTCCAGGGTCAGATCAGGATCTGGGGTAAAGTAGATGCTCTAAGAACTGGTGTTGAATGAATAAGCGTACGTAAAACCCAAACCACTTTCTAGGGGACCTTGAGGCCTCCCTTAGGGCAGAGGGGACAGTAAGGCCCATGAACTACAGAAAAAGGCCACAGTCACAGGGGACAGAGCTTTCAGAGAAAAGTCACTGGGGCTGCTGGGGTCTTCCTTCTTTAGGTAGTTCCTCTCCCCAACTCCTCCCACACCCCGTGACTTTTGCGTAGATGAAACTTTTGTCCTCTGGAGCTCAGAATGGTCCAAGGAAATAATGATTCATGATCATGACTTTGGAAGACTTTCGGAAACTGGGCCATAAATCTCCAAAGCATGAAACAGGCTAAGGAGGCCAAGGGCTAGGCTCCCTACAGCCCAGGAGGATGAAACCAAAACTGTTCATCACACACTGACGGATGTCTAGATGATGCAATACTTTACTTTGCTTGCCTTTGTGTTTCAGATGATGGCACCTCTTGGATAGAGTCTTCTGGAACCTCCTTTTTACTCTACTTTGTCCTTCTGATATTCATCCACATGAAGTCGCTTTTTTTGGTCTAACACTATATTTATTTTATTTAGAAAAGCAACAAAAAGCCATAGGTATTTCAGAGAATGCAGCAAATATAAAGACAAATACAAAAGACATTTGGGATACAACCAGTTGGCTTCTGCCTTCCAGACACAGGGGAACTTATTGAAACTGACTAGGTTAACTTTGGTGCTGGGCAGTTCAGAACCAAGTCTGTAGCCACCATCAGCAACTGTGGCTATTTAAGTAGGCTTTTTTGTGGACGAATGTTATGCCGGGTTTCATCTTCATTGTTCTTTCATTCAATAAATGTGACAGGGACTGTACTGAGGACACCAAGAGGAACAACAGTCTCTCTGCCAGGAGCTCACAATCTAATGGTGAGATAGAGGAACAAGCAGCTGGCATGGGATTGTGTAGCCAGTGTTGTCCAAGGTGCAGGCTCAGTGTGCTACAGGGACCTGCAAGATGACCACCGCCTGAGCTGAGGCTTCCTGGAGGAGGTGAAGCCTTGGGTAGGACGTGGAGGGTGAGTGGGTATGTCAGTCTGGCAAAGGGAGTCCCCGTGGACTCCAAAGGGAGTCCCCGTTACCCTTCTCTCAATACCCTGTTCAGATCTCTCTGCAGGCCTGTCTTTCTCTCTTGAAATTCTGTCCCATTGTCTGTTCTAGTCACAATTTACTCATTGGTCTTGGTGGTTAATCTCACAAGTTCACATCTTACACTCCGGAACTAGGCTCCCTCTCCTCTGAGGATGGAGGTTCTTTTTACTTTGGTGTTTTTTTCACTGTGCCTCTGACTAAGTGTTGGCCAGAGAGGCTGGCTGCCCACTCAGCCCAGGCTGGAAAAGAGACTGTCAGCACATCTCCAAAGATACACAAACGCAAGACAGAAGCCACAACCCCTCGGCCACCGCCGGCACTGCAGGGTTCAGAAGCCTTCCGACTTGCTAAGGGGAAAGTCAAAGGACACAACAATTCTTTCGACAGCACAACTGTTTAAAGGAAAGACACAGCGTCTCGTTGTAGTTCGTTGTAGACCCGAGCTAGACAGCAGGTCACACCCCCCATCAAATGCCCTCGGAACCCACGGCCCTGGAGACACCATCCGCTCAGTCGAACGTGATTCGGAAGCTGCGTTCCTGCTCCTTGCGACGCCCCTCACACACCCTGGCCACCTCCTCCACCTTCCTCTGCAGCAGGGCTGAGTTCTGGTCGATCCACTGCAGCGAGTCCATGTGCGCGTTGAGGATCTTGCAGATCTGCTGCAGCGGGTCGCTGGTGTCAGCCGGGCCCCCGGCTGTATTCAGGTGCTCGATGATGTCCTTGAGGTCCTGGGCCATGCGCTTCAGCTGCGCATCGATGTTCTCGGCCAGCTTATAGGTCTTCTCGCGCTCCTCGTCGGCATGCTGCAGGTAGATGGTCCCGCTCTGCTCCTTGACCGATTCCTCCAGCGGACTCAGCAGGTCTTCCAGCTCCTTCTGCTGGGACAGGATGAAGTCGAGCTCCTGGTCCAGCCGCTTCTGGTCCAGTTTCACCTTCTCCACCTCGCGGTGCAGGCTGGTGATCTTCTCCCCATTCTCGATCAGCGTGCGGTCCCAGGCGTTGACCTGGGTGGCCTGCTGGAGGAAGTGCCGCTCCTGGTCCTCCAGCTCCAGGCTCCACTTGTTGATCAGGCTCTCCAGCTGTGCGTAGGTCATGGCAGGGCTGGTAGTCGCCCCAGTAGCTGCAGTGGGGCCAGGGGGAGCGGTGACGGTGGCTGCCGCATTGCTGGGGAGCCCAGCTGGTGCCAGTGGTTTTAGATTCAAGGCAAAGCCGGTGGCAGCGGCGGCGGTGGTGGTGGCAGTGGTAGATGTTGCCGCCGAGGTGCCTGCAGCTGCTCCAGGGGCCTTTAAGCTGAAGCTCAGTGTTCCAGCCCCGGGAGCTCCAGCTGTGGTTGCCGGGGCACCGAGGGAGAGCCCGGTGGCAGTCGAGGCTGTAGCAGTGGCTATTGAGGCAAAGAGGCTGGGCCCAGTGCTGGTGGAGGCAGCAGCTGGTGTGGGAGCGGCTGGCTGTGTGGCTCCTGCTACAGTAGCTGCCGGGGTGGCTGGAGTGAAGGGCAATCCGGTGAGTACTGTGGGCTGGGTGGAAGTCCCCACTGAGCCAATGTTGAAGCCGGAGGTCCCGGTCTGGGGCGTGCTTCCGCCAGTGAACGAGAACCCTCCAGATGTGGTGGACGGAGCAGCAGAGGTGGCGGAGGAGCCAAACGCAAAGCCGGCGGGTGCCGTCCCCTGGCTGGAGATGACAGTGCTTGAGATGGCATTGGTGAGGGTGCTGCTGCTGCCCAATCCAAAGCCGCTGGGGTTTGTCGCTGTGGTTGGAGGGGCAGCGGTGTTGGTCAAGTTTAGCTTAGGAGCGTTGATTGCCAAAGAAAACCCGGCTCCGGTTCCTCCGGAAGCAGGAGTTGTTGTCCCAAAACTGAACCCCGACGTCTGTGTCGCCGGAGCCTGGGTGGAGAGTGAGAACAGGCTGGTAGAAGGGGCACTTGCAGCAGGTTGGGAGGGGGTCCCAAAAGTAAACCCTCCAGTGCCAGACGTGGAGAAAGAAAACCCCGTCGCGGGTGTGGTTGTTGCTGTCTTTGCGGTGCCAAACGTGAACCCGCCTGTAGGGGCCCCGGTGCCTCCAAAATTAAACCCACTCATGGTGCCAGACTCTGGTGGCAGCAGCTGCTCCGGCTCCCAAGGCAAGTCCGTCGGTGTCTACAACCTTGGGGAGATTTTTAAAGCAGAGGAAGTGACATCATCAGATGGCAGTTTTGGCAAGGCAAGCTCAGTGGTATGACCAAGCACGCTCCGTTTGAAGGGTGGCAGGGCTGGATAACGGTAACATGCAGCAACCCTTCCTCTTCCTTCTGTGTAACCTAAACCAGCCTCTACTAAACTAGGCGAGAAGGATTTAGAAGCACAAACACGTGCCTCGAGGGGCAGGCACCTGGAGCTGGAGGGTGCTAGGGATGTGTACAGCCAAATTCTGCACAGGGGGAGCCTCCCGCTCTGCAGAGAAAGCGGGCTAACAGGAACCTGAACAACCTCAGCCCTTGAAAGGATCCCACAAATAGGGCTGGGACACTAAGTCACAGCTGTAGGACCTGCTCCCCAGAGTGGGGCCTGGTGAGGTTCTCTTGCTGACTGCAAGTGAGCACCTCTCTGGACTTCACAGAGGCAGACCCTGGAGCCCTGGGCTGCATGGCAGGGCCTTGGCTGCTGGAGCGTCCCCTCCTAACTGGAGGTGGGCATGAGACCTGAGTCCTCCACTGGAGAGCTCTAGATCCCCCTGGCCGTGGCACCACACTCGAGGATAAACTGAGACCTGAGCCAGCCAATCAGAGTCCACCCCGGGGCTTGGGGGCCTCCTTCACTTGCAGGTGTAGCACACAGAAGATGTGCACCTGGGCCTCCCGCACCTTCTCGGCCATCTGCAGACAGAGAGACTGACACAGTGGGGGATGGAGGGCATGAAGAGCCCTCCAGGGAGGTGCTCTGGGTCAGCGAATCCCATTCAGTTCAAACGGACTAGAATTCTGTAACTTCTGACACAGCTCCAGCAGTGCCATTACTCTACCAGCAGGAAGGTTGAAGGTTACCTGGTAAGGACAGGGGGAGAGGGAGAGCTGGATGGGTTTTTTTTTTTTTTAGGTAAATGGCCATACACTGAGCATGGATTATAAGGGGGCCTGGGAGAAGTGCTGGACAATGGTCTGCAGGCAGGATTCTTGGCCCCAAGTCAGAGATGAGAAAAGGGGCTCAGAGGGCCGTGGCAACTCACCCAGGGTCACCAGCTAGCCAGTGCTGAGCAGGGACCTGGCCCCAGGCAGCAGGAGTCAGAGTCTCGGAGCTCCACTGGCCTGACATGTGAGCCTCCTCGCCCAGTGTGGGGACCAGATGACAGGAACTTCCGTACCTCCAATTAGGGGTCAGTGAAATATGAGGGCAGACTATGCGCACTCTGTCCAATGATGCACACGGAGTGGCAGAGTGCAAGTCACTTGAGCAGGGACTCAGGGCGGCCAGACAACACAGCTCTGGAGAGACACGCTGAGAGGTGGATAGGGCTGTCTGGGTGATATGTGGACTGTCTCTAACTTGCAATCATTTCCAAATGTTCCCTCTATAGAGTGGAGAAGCATGGTTTTTGAACAAGAGAAATGAATCATGGAGTGTGCATTCAACCTGAGGGCCCAATGGCCACACACAGCTAACTTTTATAATCACAAGTGGGATATACTGAGTTAACAAATTAAATGAGCTCTATTAGACCTTGTCTTGCCTCAAAGGTGACAAGAAGCTAGGCATGGTGGCATGCGCTTGTAGCCCAGATACCCACAAGGATGAGGCAGGACTACTTGAGCCCGAGAGTTCAAGACCAGCTTGGACAACATAGGGAGGACCGATCTCTTAAAAAAAAAAAATTAGCCGGGCTCAGTGGCTCAGCCTGTAATCCCGCGCCTTTGGGAGGCTGAGGTGAGTGGATTGCCTGAGCCCACGGGTTCAAGACCCGCCTGGGCAGCGAGACCTCATCTCTACAATAAATCAAAAAATCAACCGGGCGAGGTAGCGCATGCCTGTCATTCCGGCTGCTTGGAAGGCTGAGGTGGAAGGATCGCCGGAGCCTAGCAGGTCGAGGCTGCGGTGGCCGGGAGCGGCCACTGCACTCCAGTCTGGGCAACAGAGCGAGACTCCAACTCAAAAAAAAAATTAGCTGGGTATGATGGAGCACACTTGTAGTCCCAGATACTTGGGAGGCTGAAGCGGGAGGATCACTTGAGCCCAGGAAGCCGAGGCTTCAGTGAGCTGTAATGTCCCAACGCACTCCAGCCTAAGTGACAGAGTGAGACCTTGTCTCAAAAATAACAGAAAACTAACCTGCAAGCCTTGAAATGGGGAGATCGCCTATGGGTATCCAGGGGGCCCTAAATATATTCACAAGTGTCATCCTAAGACAGAGGCAGCAGATTTGGCTAGAGGAGGCCACGTGGTGATGGGGGCAGAGATAGGAGGCACTCTGAAGTCTGAAGGTGGAGGAAGGGCATGAGCAGAATCTTGAAGGAACCAGCCCTGCCTAAACCTTGGAAACTACTTTGGACCTCTGGCCTCCAGAAATGTAAGAGAATGTGTGTTATTGGAAGTCACTGACCTGTGATTATCTGTGAGTGGCCAGAAAAAACCCAAGACATTTGGGAAGTCACGCCTGGCAGATCTGGGGCGTGACCTGGTCATCCCCTAGCACCACGAACAGACCTTTCTGAGGTCAGTTCCCACCTCAGGACAGTGGGGAGAGGCTACAGAACTCATGACTTAGACCTGAGGCTGTGGCCAACCTCGAGCTGAGCATAAATTTTCCACTCAGGGGGCCGGGAGGCCACGTGAGGAGAAGTGCCAATTCTGACGTGGGCCTTCTGGGCAGCCCCTGCCTACCACCAGCTGTGTGTGGACAGTGCTGGGTCCACACGCCCCCTCGCCCAGACCCACAGCTGGCCCCTCATGTCCTGGGGGGCTGGGATGATGGCTCCAGTGCTGGTGGGGGAAGAGGCTCTGATGGAGAGAAGCTGTCCGCTCTTCCCACGGTGGGCCCTAGACCACACATCCCTCTTTATTCCCACTCTTCACCACATGGGCCCAAAGGGCACGCAAACCTGCTCTGGGGCATGGCCACCATCCTGTGCCCCCACTTCTACCCAGCACCCTCATATTCCTATTTTTCCCTTCATCTGAAACAGCTGAGGTGGCTTGGTTGCAGGGCCCTCCCTGTCTTCAGGCATGAAGTTGCTCTCCAGACATAAGGAGAAAGATCTGGGTTTGAATTCTGCACCTGCCACTTACTAACTGTGGGTTCTTGGGCAAATTACTCCTGAGCCACTCTGGGTCTCAGTTTTCCCATCCAGAGAAGCGGTCAGAGGGTCTGCAACTCTTCCCTCTCCCCTTGGGCCACTTTTTCTTAGTGTCCTCAGGGAACCCCTGCCCCAACCCCCACAGCCGCTAGCGCTTGCATCATCTCCGCCTCCTTTTCCACACAGCCACGTGCTTTGGGGGAGACACCCCAGGGCCACCTGCACTGGATCTGCCTGGTCTACACTAGCAGATCTCAACGCTGACCATCAGCATTACTCAGGAGTGTTCAAAATGTACAGCACTGCCAGAGCAATGGAGTCAGCCTCCTGGGCTGGGATGTGTCCTTGGCATTCCCACAAATCTCTTCTGGGGGCCGCTGAGAAAGGTCTCTTCACTTTCAAGAGGCCACAGCAAGTGCCTGATCCCCCAGGACTGCTGGCCCCTGCCCTGTGCCTGGGCTTCTTCTTGTGTACAGAACAGAACACACCTCGTTGCCACTGAGCCACCGTGAGCCAGTGTGTCGTCACTGACAGCTAAAGGCATCTGAACAGCTATGCCTATGTGCTCAGTTCTTAGGAACTCGGCTCAAAAACCCCTTTGCTATTAATAAGCTGTAGTTACATTTTTCTAGAAGAGTATCTATAAAAAGCTCTTTGTAACTATTACAAAACTACAAAAAATAATCTGTGGGCGTTGTCTGGTTGACGGTTCACCATTCATGCAATGCCTCATTGGTTTCGGAGCCCACAGGTACTGGGGTCTATTCATAACGGCCAACACGCACTGATCCGGCCCTGCTCCGCGTACTTTCGCTGCGTTACCCACTGATTCCTGAAAGTGAACGCCGAGGCAGATCTGTTTTATAGACAAGGAAAGTGAGGCCCAGACTGGTTGACTCAGCTCTGGCCCTTGCCCCCGAGGTGACCAGGACCATGCCAGTTTCAGGAAGGGGTGTGGGTCAGGGCACATATTTGGGAGCAGGGAGGAGGCTCTTCCCTTGCCCAGGTCCTAGGGAGAAGCTGAGAGTTTTGGGATCACCCAGGGAAACACAGTGGGGGCAGAGAGAGGTGGGACCATCTAGGCAAGAGGAATGGCCTGGGTGAAGGAAAGGAGGCTGAAGTAGCTGGTGTGCCTCTGGGATGCTGAGTGATTTGGTATAGCTGGTGGGAGAGTGTGTGTACAGTGAAGGGGTGACTGGCCAGGTCCGAGCTGTTCAAACCCTGCACATTCCAAAGAGAAGACTGGCTCCTGACTGGCTCTTGGGAAATCTAAGCCCTGAAACGTCCTGCCAGATAAGGGTGTTTCTGTTCGCTCATGCCAGACAGCCCATGCTAACACTGTGACCTACAGTGGGGCTTTGGGTCACACGATTACAGTCTGGCCTCTGGAGGGGGCTACACACTAAGTTTAGCCACACAGGTGCTCCATGCCTTACGGGACCACCCCACAGAAACCCAGGACACTAAGGCTTGGCGAGCTTCCCTGGCTGGCAACACCCCATAGTGCTGCCACACACTGTGGCTGGGAGAATTAAGCGCTGTCCACAGACTCTACAGGGAGAGGATAGCTGGAAGCTGGTACCTGGTCTCTTCCGGACCTTCAGCGCCTTTTCTACCTTTGCTGGCTTTAGTCTGCATCCTTTGACTGTGATAAACTGGTGACTGTGAGTTTCACAGCTTTGCTGAGTCCTTCTAGCTCATCACTGGACCTGAGGGCTGTCTACGGGACTCAGCACCACATGATGGGCGAGAGAAGCTGGCAGAACCACACATGCTATGGGAACAGCTCAGACTATGTTGAGGAATCCATGGGGGGGACTTGAGGGTGCGGGCACTAACATGGCCAGATACATGTGTGGGGAGGATGAACAGGACAGGTACAGGCC